AAAGAGTCCCAGAACTGGGTAAAGACAGTCTCAGAACTGAGTGCCTGAACTTAAACCCTCTAAAATTCATACCTAAATTATGGCCATGATTTGCAGGGTGTTCAGCTCTCCCCAAGGCCAGAGATGTCTGTATCACCTGCTGGTGTTGAGAACTGCTTAGAACAGAACCACCCACTTAGGAGCCAAAGTGTGGGTTTTGGTGCCTGATTGTAACTCCCAGGTGATCTCTGGACTGAGAGATTTGCCCTAGGTCTGTGGTATGGCAGGGAAAGGTTTCCTGCACGTTTTCTACAGTGTCCTGTTGGTCAGGGACGCAGAGGAAAGGTGAGAAGACACCATGGCCCTGCTATTTCTGGAGTTACGTGCCACCACTTTCGCCAAAGACATTTTCCTTCATAGCTTCCCAGGTGAAATGAAAAGATGATGAGATGACACTCCAGTGTCACACAGAGTTGATAACTGTTCCCCATCCTTCCCCTCTGTCCTCAGCTGCCCTCTACCAAGCAACATGGAGATGAGCCATTTAACCCCTCCTCCTCTTTCCTTTTCTGCAGGTGGTCTCTCTGGGCCTGTATTTTGGGGATCAGGCTTATCTCCGCAGCAGCTGGAACGTCTTGGATGGCTTCTTGGTCTTCGTGTCTCTCATTGACATTGTGGTCTCTGTGGCTTCTGCTGGTGGTGCCAAAATCTTGGGGGTGCTGCGGGTCCTCCGGCTGCTGCGCACCTTACGTCCCCTCCGGTCAGAGCCCCACTGAGCCCAGCTCAGCCCCCTCTTCCCACCATGCTCCCCCCCACCCAGAAAGGGTCCCAGAGTCACATCCTGCTATGCCAGGCAAAGTGTGGTCTTTGAGAAGCCATGAGCCACAGGGAGGTTCCCCTTAGCCATACAGCTCGGGCACTGGAGGTGCCTCATCAGACAACCAGCCTGTGGGAGAGAAGAGGCTTTTAGGCTGCAGGAAAGTGATCCCCACTGACGGGTCACTGCACAGGGAGAGCAGCGATCTGTTGCAGCTCAAAATGTTTAGCTTAGGCCAAACATTCCTGCCCTGTCCCTCTGTCACCCCTCCCCTTCCTTCCCTTCCAGAGTCATCAGCCGAGCCCCTGGCCTGAAGCTCGTGGTGGAGACACTCATTTCTTCCCTCAAGCCCATAGGAAACATTGTCCTCATCTGCTGTGCTTTCTTCATCATCTTTGGCATCCTGGGTGTGCAGGTAGGATTGTTACTGCCTATCAAACAGCTCCTGTGCCCCCACCCCTACCATGGGCATCAAACAGCCCCCATGGCCCAGCCCCTACCATGGGCACCTGTGCCTCCAGATACAGGCACAGGGAAACGAGCAGAGCAGGAGGGACAGGCAAGCCAGGAAACTTTCTGCATCTGCCCTCCTCCGTGAGCTGTCTTCCACCATAATATCACTGCAGCCTTTGGCAAAGACTTCAGCAAGTGCGGGCGTTGCTGGATGTGTGAGACAGAAGTTAACCGTCATGCCTGGCAGGAATTGTATCAGAGTTTGGGTCAGCGCTACAGGGAGAGCCCAGTGCTGGCATAGCACAGGACTCGCTGGGCATGTCCATGCCATGCCACAAGAGCAAGCAGCTCACTGCCTGCTTGCACAAACCCTGCCTCCAGCCAGCTCTGTTTCTCCCCCTTGTTCTGAGCCCTAAATCCACCCACAACCTCATTTTTTTTTCTTCTTAATTTAATCCTCTTTATTTTCGGCTGTTGCATTGCAGAGGAGTGAGGGCGTGGGCGTTACTTCCATCTCAGGGAATGCGCTATACTTAGTCTGTTCTGATGCATCTGTACAAATGCACAATCCAGTACCTTCCATATGGGGAAAGGAGCCCTGGGCAGCAGAGCCACAGCAGTGCAGTGCAGCTTTGTGAAAAAAAAAGTGTCTGAGAAGCAGGGGATGCTTTTTCTGGTTCTTTACCCTCAGATGAGATCTTCTTTTGCCATTAGTTCTCTCAGTAACTGGGAAGCAGGGAGGGGAGATTACTCTTGGGGACTGAAGAGAATTTTTTTTTTGGGGGGGGCCCGAGGCTCTAATTGCACCCAGAAGGGCTGCTTTAAAGGCTGTCAGATGGTGAGGGCTTAAGTCACTGTTGGCGTGGGGCAATGGAGGAGGCTGAAAAGCCAGGTGTGGGTTTATAAGAGCAGGCCTGTTTACTTAGCAATGTTTGAGCGTGTGCTCTGTGTCACATTGGTGGTCCTCCCTAGTTGTTGTGCTCCACCTGGCTTGCAGCCCTGCAGCCCACCCACCATTCTCAGGAGCTTCTACACATCCCAGGGAGCGTGGGGAACCCTGTGGTGAAAGGGGCTGATGGGATCACTCCCCTCCTGCAGCTCTTCAAGGGCAAGTTCTACCACTGCCTGGGAGTCGACATCAGGAACATCACCAACCGGTCTGACTGCGTGGCCGCCAACTACAAATGGGTGCACCACAAGTATAACTTTGACAACCTGGGACAGGTGAGTGTGCCCACAGCCCCTGTCTCTGATGGGAACCCAGCACAGGGTTTGTCTTTTACATGTGCCCTTCCCTGGGACACAGATGAAGTGCCTGGAAAGCCTGATCCGTGGGCCAGGAGGAGTGGTTATTTGGCATGGGTATCCTTGCAGAAGCCTCGTCACTAGTGTGGGTTGGTCTCAGGGTGATGCTTACAGGTTGTGGGAGAAAGAAAAGTGGTGGCAGTGGAGAGCTTGATTTTCTTATTCCTCCTGCTGAGAAGCAGATGCTCTTCACAGCCTCTCTCCTCTGATGGGTCTGGCTGCACATGGCTTCCTGTCTGCCCCCCCCCCCGCCCTCCTCCACGGGGGAATGAGCAGGTTTTTGATGTGTGCAGAGACACAGGCAGGAAGAGTATTTCAATATTGTGTGTGGTAGAGCGTAAACCCATGATTTTTTTTTTTTCCCCAGCCTGACAGATGCACCTGCTCCACATCTGCTTTGCTTTGTATGTTGCAGGCTCTGATGTCACTCTTTGTTCTGGCTTCCAAGGATGGCTGGGTCAATATTATGTATAATGGACTAGATGCTGTGGCTGTTGACCAGCAGGTATGAAGACTTCCTTGTGAAAGAACATTCAAATGGAGACATTCGAAGCCTGCCTGGATGCGTTCCTGTGTGATCTGATCTAGGTGTTCCTGCTCCGGCAGGGGGATTGGACTAGATGATCTTTCGAGGTCCCTTCCAATCTCTAACATTCAGTGATTCTGTGAACCTTTTCACTTTCCTTGGTCTAAGTAAGACAGAAGCATGCTTTAACATCCTGCTTCAGACACCTCTCTCACACCAAGAGTCCCTTCCAGGGCCCTTCTGAATCCTTTGCCAAGGGGTCAGGGTCATGCCTGGTCCATGCAGGGAGGTGCAGCTGTGTCTGTCTGTAGTAATTCTCACCCTCTGCTCAGTTTAGATCTCACAGCAGGCCTTTATTTATTTGTAATGATGGAGCAACAGGCCCACAGTTGGTTATTTGAAGACCCTGTAAAGCAGAGACTTTTGGGCTGCTGCCCACTGCATCCCTATTCTTCTACTGCTAAGTCAATGACCTTGATAGTGTCTGGTTTAGGCACCTGCCATGGGATGCAGTAGCATAGGCCTGAAACTCAGCGATGATGCTCCATTTACCTCTGAACCTCTGCACAAGGTGCACCCGTGTTGGCTTTTGTAGGCTTTTTGTCAGGAGACCCAGTTAAAGACAGGGCCTCCTTTCTCTCCGAGCCTGAATGACATTTCAGTTCTGGTCTTGCCGTTTTGGTGGCATGTGACTGAGGTCTCTGCTTGCCCTCAAGCCAAAGGTGTTCCTGGTGCCTGGACCACCTATTTCACCACATCCTGGGGTTGTACCCAGCCTACATCTGGGGTTGTGCCTGAACTGTGGGTGGGTATGTACAGGCAGGCCCTTGCCCTTGGTCCCACCAGCTCTATCAATGCAAGCTACATTTTCACCAGCTGATGACGAAATCCAGTCAGCCAATCACAAACTGCCTTGTCTGTAGCCCCAGCTCTTCCCAGCTCTTTCCAGCTCACTCCCCTGATTTTCATAACCCCTACCTACCTCCCCAGCAGCCAATCACCATGGCAGGTCCCACTCCCATCATTTCCATACCACTGCCCATCCAACTAGGCTCTGTTCTCTCCCCTTACCTAGCCAGTGACCAACAACAACCCCTGGATGCTCCTTTACTTCATCTCCTTCCTCCTCATCGTTAGCTTCTTTGTGCTCAACATGTTCGTGGGAGTGGTGGTGGAGAACTTCCACAAGTGCCGGCAGCACCAGGAGGCAGAGGAGGCACGCCGGCGGGAGGAGAAGCGCTTGCGCCGGCTGGAGAAGAAGCGAAGGAGTAAGGCACAGCCTAAGTGTTTGGTCGGTTCGTAGGCCAAGGTTTTCTGAGAAAAACCTTCTCCTTTTCTTTTGCTTTACCAACGGACCGATCTCCAAAATGCATTGCTTGTGGCCGTGCTCTCAGCCTTCCTCCCTGTGCCACTGCCATATTGCTATGCACCTCACTGGAGCGGTCTGGGGAAGAGGGGTGGCTGACGAGGTCTGCTGGGACTCTGGGGAAGCTGCTGGGGTTTTAACGACCTGCCCTTTGAGAGATAACATGTACCAAAAATACCCCCGTGCACCTGCTGCTGTGCACTGTTGACACAGGATGCGCAGGCATTGGTACACTTCCTGGGCTTCCTGCAACCCAGCTGGTGTTTGGGGGAAGACCTGGACAGACCATCCTTTGTGTTTAAACCCAAATTTAAAGAAGAGGGAGGGGAAAAAAAAAGAGTAAAACCCTTTGTGTTTTGTTCCTGGCTCTTTCCATCAATGCTGCAGTGTCACTCCTGGGGGACCCAGACCCTCTGGGGTGAAGCAAGCCCTTTTCCTGGTGTTTTTGTCCTCTTCTGTATTACTTTGAGACAGAAATTGCAAAAGCATACTTGCCCCTGGAAATCATCCCTACTACCCCAGACTGATGGTTTTCTTCCATTCACAGCCTGTGGGCATGCTTTCCCTTCATCTGCTCCAGTTTTTCCCTCTCTCATGTGACAACCTGGGGCCTCTCCTGGAACCATATGCTCCCTTTTATTATTTGTGATCTTAATATGTTGAGGCATGAAATGCTGATTTAGCACCATTCCCACAAACATGGATTAACAGATTTTCTATCTAGCATTCTTTTTCTTGTATTTTTTCCTACCTATTTTTTTCCCCACTTCTACTTTCCTGTTTTTTTTTTCGCATTTTCCCCTCCTTCCTATGTCCCCTATCTTTTACCTATCCTTTTCTGTTCTTTATCTCTCCTGCCATCACTCCCTTTTCTTTCAACACCTATCACCACTTTTATGCCTGCTCCCTCAGTGTTTCTTACACATTTCTCTCTTTCTTCCAATTTCTTCCTAACTCTGCCCATCTCCCTCTTTCCACTGAAGAGGCGCAGCGTTTGCCGTACTATGCTACCTATTGTCCCATACGCCTCCTTATTCATTCGGTCTGCACCAGCCACTATCTGGACATCTTCATCACTTTCATCATCTGCCTCAACGTCGTCACTATGTCCTTGGAGCACTACAACCAACCTGTGGTGAGTGATATCATGGAGATAAGCCCTGCCTCTAGTCATTATGTTATTTTACTACAGTTCTCTGATAACCACTGCCCACCACAATAGGTAGGAGACTTGAGTGTCTCTAAAAAATACTGTTAAAGTGTTGCAAGAGTTAATGTAGTGGGCAAAGTTATATGAAGAATTTCATATATATCCAGAAAAGAAGCCCCTACTCTGACACGTTATCCATGAAAATCAATAGAGATAAGGTATCTAAGCAAGATTCGGGCCCCTAGAAAGCATGGCACAATTAAATCTTTGTGCTTTATATTATTAAGTGGGTATGTGGGTCACCCAAATTTAGCTGCCTGGTCTGCTTTGTATATTCCCTTGGATCCTAATAGGAGGAGTGGTGGAAACAGCAATGTCCTGGGAGCTTCAGGCTTTATGTGAGATTTCCAAATGTCAGTTCTCTTGCCATGAGGCCTGAGCTGAGAGGACTAGAGTGGCTGGTTGTGTGTCATGGGATGGAATGTCTTTACCAAGCCACCTTTTTTGCATAAGAGAAGCAGGGACAAAGCACTGAGCAGAGCCTCTCTCTGTTGCAGGGGCTTTGCTCCCAGAAAAGGACCTTGAGGGCCAAATAAGTTTTATACTTTGGTTAGGGAAGACCAGGTACCTCTCAGTGTTCCTGGCAAAGCTCTGGATGCCTCTGATGGAAGAAATGTATGCTGAATATATCAAAGGAGCTTTCTGCCTCCGTATGTAGACAAAGCATTCATCATTACGTCTGCCTGGTGGCATTTCAGTTTTCTCTTCAGGAGACCCTTGGTTGACGTGACAGCTCTGGTGCCTGAGCAAATGCTGTCCAAGGTAGCTCAGGCTGTGGTCAGGAACTGAATCTGTCAGTCATTTGATTCCACTGACAGGCTTCTCTGTTTCTTGCCCAACTGCCCAGCTTTTATCTTGCCCTTGCTGGTGCTGAGTTTTACTCTGCAGGAACTCTCAACCTTTAGCTGTTGTCATCCTCATGTCAGGCCTTTGTTCCTGAAAAAGTTACTTCTCTTCCTTACTTCTTAGCTCCTTCCCCTGGAACGCAGGTCCAGCCATGCCGGCCTGCTGTCAGGCTCTGCTAAAGTGTTTCAGACCCTTCCAGTATGAAGTGCCACCAAATGCTGCCCACTGCTCACACTGGTCTTAAGTGGTGGAGAAGGGGCAGCACATAAAAGAAGCAGAAACCCAGCAGCTAAGAGATGTGACATATGCCTGCCCCAGACCAAGGCACAGAGGGGTTTCCTCCCATCAGAGATGACATGTATCCACAACTGGAGTAACCTTCATGCCACACTCCTGGTTGATAGCTATGCCAGTGCCATTAACATGGTGGCATCCAGGTGGCATAGGCTACTGGCAGAAGAGGAGCCTGCTGGTACCTCTGGCCAAGGACGTCAAGGGTAACAAGAAGAACTTCTATAGGTATGTCAGTGATGAAAGGAGGACTAGGGAAAAAGTGGGCCCCCTCCAGAAGGAAGTGGGAGACCTGGCTATCCTGGATATTGAGAAGGCTGAGGTACTTAATGACTCCTTTATCTCAGTCTTCACTGGTAAGAGCTCAAACCACACTGCCCAAGTTGCAGAAGGCAAAGTCAGTGACTGGGAGAAGGAAGAACCACCAGCTCTAGGAGAATATCAGGTTTGAGACCATCTAAAGAGCTGGAACATGCACAAGTCCATGGGACCTGAAGAGATGCATCCGCAGGGCCTGAGGGAACTGACAGATGAAGTTGCCAAGCCACTATGCATCATATTTGAGAAGTTGTGGCATTCTGGTGAAGTTCCCGCTGACTGGAAAAGGGGAAATATAACCCTCATTTTTGAAAAAGGAAATAAGGAAGACCTGGGAAACCACAGGCTGGTCAGTCTCACCTCTGTGCCTGGCAAGATCATGGAGCAAATCCTCCTGGAATCTATGCTAAGGCACATGGAAAACAAGGAGGTGTTTGGTGACAACCAACATGGCTTTACTAAGGGAAAATTGTGCCTGACAAATTTGGTGGCCTTCTACGATGGGGCCACAGTGCTGGTGGATAAGAGAAGGGCAACTGACATCATCTACCTGGAATTGTGCAAAACCTTTGACACAGTCCCACATGTCTCAAAGTTGGAGAGACATCGATTTGATGGAAGGAGCACTTGCTGGATAAGGAAATGGCTAGATGGTCGCATTCAAAGAGACTCAATGGCTCAATGTCCAAGCGGTGACGAGTGGTGTTCCGCAGGGGTTGATATTGGGACTGGTGTCGTTCAACATTTTTGTTGGTGACACGTACAGTTGGATCGAGTGCACCCTCAACAAGTTTGTTGATGACACCAAGCTGTGTGGTGCAGTTGACACACTGGAGGGAAGGGATGCCATCCAGAGGGACCTTGACAGGCTTGAGAGGTGGGCCAATGCCAACCTCATGAAGTTCAACAAGGCCAAGTGCAAGGTCTTGCACATGGGTTGGGGCAATCCCAAGCACAAATACAGGCTGGGTGGAGAATAGCTTGAGAGCAGCCCTGAGGAAAAAGACTTGGGGGTGTTGGTTGACAAAAAGCTCGACATGAGTCAGCAATGTGCGCTTGCAGCCCAGAAAGCCAACCATAAGAAGCATTAGCAGCAGGTCGAAGGAGGTGATTCTCCCCCTCTACTCTGCTCTCGTAAGACCCCACCTGGAGTACTGTGTTCAGATGTGGGGCCCCCAACATAAAAAAGACCTGGACCTGTTGGAGAGAGTCCGGAGGAGAGCCGTGAAATTGGTCAGAGGGCTGGAGCACCTCCCATATGAGGACAGCCTGAGACAGTTGGGGTTGTTCAGCCTGGAGAAAAAAAGGCTCCAGGGAGACCTAATAGAAACCTTCCAGTGCCTAAAGGGGGCCTACAGGAGTGATGGGGAAACACTCTTTATCAAGGAGTGTAGTGATGGCACAAGGGGTAATGATTATTAGCTGAAAAGAGGGTAGATTTAGATTAGATATTAGTAAGAATTTTTTCCCTGTGAGGGTGGTGAGATACTGGAAACAGGTTGCCCAGGGAAGTTGTGGATGTCCCATCCCTGGAGGTGTTCAAGGCCAGACTGGATGAGGCTTTGAGCAACCTGGTCTAGTGGAAAGTGTCCCTGCCTGTGGCAGAGGGGTTGGAACTAGTCGATCTTTAAGTCCTTTCCAGCCCTAACCATTCGATGATTCTACTTGGTGGATTCTTCTTGCAATAGCCTCCTCGCCCCCGTTGTGCTGAGCAGTACAGGAGAAAGGAGCAATAACCGATCCTGAGAACAGCGTGGGGCAGAGGGGCCAGCTGGTGATTGCCCTTAGTAGAAAGCCTCCACATTCAAGTAGGTAGGAGACATAGGGCAGCTTCCCCACCTCCCATGGAATTCCTGGCACTCAGAAGAGTTCTCCCACTTGTTATGTGCTTGATGTTGCTTTTTCCTCAATTCTTTACCCTCTCTTTCTGCTGGTAGTCCCTGGAGACCGCCCTCAAGTACTGCAACTACCTGTTCACCACTGTCTTTGTGTTTGAGGCAGTCCTCAAGCTGGTGGCATTTGGTCTGCGGCGATTCTTCAAAGACAGGTGAGCTGAGGGTTATGTCAACTGTGGCTGTGGGAAAACTGGGTTTAGGGTGGAGTTTTTGAGGATGGATCCCTATCTGGAGCGTGAGGTGGTAGCAGAGTGCCCTTACTGCCTCCCAGTTCCGCACAGCATGGACCTAGCCTCTGCCTGTGTGAGCTGCAATACCTAGGCAATAGTAAGAGTTGTCCAAAAATTGCCTCTTGGTTAGCATCTGCTGGTTAGGCTAGAAAACAAAGGAGGTGGGGTTAGAGAGAACCATTTATTTCCTGTCTTTGAGGCAAACTGGGAGCATGCTGAAGTAGAATGTGTGTAACAAAGCTGATTTGAGGTAGTAAGGCCATAAAAAGCTGAGCCCATTAGTCAAAGTATAGCACCATAGTAACACAGCTCCATGCTTGAAGATCAGGCTGCCTTGCCTCTGGCTGCTCAGGGTGTGCGCAAAATTAATCTGTTTGTCTGCGAAAGCCCATATAGGCTGACTCAGGGCGGCGCCTCGAACTCATATAGGAAGAGATGTTTAGGTTGAAGTGGAGACAATTCACTTTCTTTATCAGGGAAATGGTAAAACTCCATCTTCCTTTATAATTTTCAATTTTTCTTCTTAAGGTGGAACCAGCTAGATCTGGCCATTGTGCTGCTGTCTGTCATGGGCATCACATTGGAAGAGATTGAAATTAATGCTGCTCTCCCAATTAATCCCACTATCATCCGGATCATGAGGGTGCTGCGTATTGCCCGGGGTGAGAGAGACACTGGCCAGTGACAGGGGTGTGGGTGGCCATTGGGTGGGACTTGGTGCCATGACTCATTGTGCAGTGGCTGTAGAGTCATGGGCTTGCCCTGTCCCTAGCTCTGGGAGGGAAGCAGAGGATGTGATGAGGAACAGCCTAGAGCCTAAGGCTGTCTGGCTTCCTTTAGCTACACATTTACCTGCAGTGGTTTTAACAGGAGGTGAAGGACCAGGAGAGTGAGCAGATCATGTGAGAGCTGACCTTTCCCTGCTATTCTTTTATGGGGCAAATATGGGAGTGGTGTTTGGAGAAGGGGCCACAAAACAGTTTGAAGTTTGCATGGAGAGGGTTCTGAATCTTCCTGGTGGTGGCCAAGATGTGCTAAGCTGCCTTAACAGATGGTGACTGGAGGAAGAGAAAGTGACGGAATGAGAATTCAGAGCAGAGGGAGAATTGTGATACATACTGCTGGAAGAAAGAGGGCTCTTGGCTGGAGTGTCTGGGTGAAGCAGAAGAAGCCCAATAGGCATGGGTGGCAGAAACAGAGTACTTACTAAGAAGGAGATAGGCTGGAGGAGAAAGAACCGCTGGGGTTGTACAGTCAAAAGAAATGGGAAAAGGGAGAAGGGGGCCGAGGAGGACAATCCATTTTTTCTAGGGCAAGGGGAGACAGGACATCTGTCTTGTGCTACTGCCATTAGTAAGTTACACAAAGGATGGACCTTCTGAGATCATTCTGAGTGACACTTCTCTTGTGCTTGTTGTGGCAGTCCTGAAGCTACTGAAGATGGCCACAGGAATGCGAGCACTGCTGGATACAGTTGTTCAAGCCCTGCCACAGGTAAAAAAGACCACCTCCCCCAAAGACTCTCCTTTTCTGCAACCTGTTTCCAAAGGGTTAATTCTTGTGGCATCTCAGAGGTGGTGCCTACTGTGTTGTGCAGGCAACTGCCTCAAGGTGATGTCCAAGTTTTCATGTCATTCATGGGGGTACAGCTTATCTCACATCTCTGTTCTCCAGTGGGTGAATGAAATAAGGCTTGATTCCTGGATAAGGGCAGATTTCTTCCCATCACATCTAGCTAGTGTCTAACTGCTTGTGGATAGTCCCCAGCTCTTCTGTTCCCTCTCCATAAAGAAGGGAAGTGTAACTGGTAGCCATTTTAGGAGGAAAGGAGATCTTTGCATCTCTGCCTATCTCGCTCTTCTGCACATTTGCCCCCTTTTTCCGCCTCTCTTTCATTCTCATTCCTGTAATTCATTTTCTTAGCCAGTGCCTCCCCCTTCCTACTTTCTTTTTTTCCTTTCTCCTCCTGGATCTCTTTGTGTTTCTGAGCCTCTCATGTATGAGAAGCAGTGACGTTCTCTGTTGTGGCTCACACAGCCGGCAGTTAAGTGTCTACTGCAAGACAGCTAGGCAGAAGGATTTCATGAGCTGTGAGTGGCAGCTGTTCCCGAATGAGATGCTGACATGATGCTTTACACAGGCTTCAGGCCCACTGTGGGGATCCTCTGTGATGGATGAGCAGCCAGGGAGACTGGTCCCCTTCCTTTTGGATCCTCGAGAGAGAATTGTTAAGCAAGGAGTAATGGCACCAAGTGGGTCTACTGATCATACATCAGACCATTCCTCTGGCAGGCCCTGAGCAGGCAGCTATATTGCATGATATCAAAATGCATGGGCATTTGTCAGTTGATTTATCAGCTAATGTGCCAGTCTTGGTGATTGATGCAGAGCTGAGAATTAATCTGAGAACAGCATGAGCAGTTACCCAAGGAGTTTACTTCTGATGTTGGTGACAATAAATGTCAATCTGAATTAGAGGAATCTCATGGCACAAAAGCGAGGGGAAAACACTGTGATCTTTTATGTATCCTGAGCTCTGTCTGATCTCCCATGTTTTTTATTAAACAATAATAATTTGTGGTTTTGTCTAATAATAATAATTATTATATCATTCATATGTAAGATATATAATAATATCATCATCCAAGGTAGCTGGGGGCTGAGATACACTGGACAATGCAAGGAACAGGAGATTAAGGGTGTTCTTATAGCAGGCAGCTTTGGGCCAGTAATGTTTATTAATTCTGGCTCTGCTGCCCCAGGCTGGCTCAGTGCAGCTTCTTTGCACCTAATGGCTGATTTTTCTCTGGCGAGGATCTGGAATGGAGCAGGTCTCCAGATCCAGTGTCTGCATGTCTGTGGCATGTTTATTCTGCGAGCCAGATAACTGCACACAGATATTAAGAGCTGGCTGAATTAGTATCCAGAAGCCCTTGGTAAGAGGACTCTGCAGTATATTTGCAGTTAAATGGTGAGACTCAACTTCTATCCCCAAAATATAGAGAATAAATAAGAGAGGAGGAAATGTTCATATCCCTGTCATGTAGATGAAAAAACTGAGTCACCAGCCAGTGAAGTGTTTTGCACAGGATGGCAAAAAGCACAGGTGGGACCTCAGTTCAAGTCTCTGAGCCCTGCTCTGATCCTAGCCACAAACCACAAGTATATTCTTCCATACTTAATAAACTCTGGCTTTTCCATCTCCAATTCACCTACAGCTCCTTTCTAAACAAGATAGTAGGTCAGGTCTTTTGGAGGTCATTAATATCTTCCACAAAACCCTCACAAGCAGACGTCTTTAAGGTCTGCCCTCTAGGTATTCCCGGGAAGGTAATAACAAGCAGTGCTTAATCCTTCCAGCATCAAAGCCTATGATCAATGGACTTCCTGTTGACTGTCTTTTGCTTCCTTCTATAACAGGGTGTCTTCATTTAATAAAGTTATATAACTGAGGGATCAAAAATCACTCCATAGTTAAAGTTGTATAAAAATCTGCACTTAAAGCAGAGCTAAAATCACCCAGTTTCACTGTTAAAAGATTTAATTTCGTCTCTGTATTTTATACATGGGGTCTTCAGGGGACAACTGAATTATCTGCATTATTATTCTCCAAGATGTATTGGCTTTGCCAAAAGAAGCAGTTTAAAATAAGCTGTCTTTTCCCTTGCGCTTTTTCCTTCTCTTGACCTTTCTCTTTATGTTCCTACAACACAGACTCACATCAGGGATTTTGGCTTGTTAATGGCATATAAGGAGTCTCCAGTTGTCCTGTTTCAATTCCCTTCCTGTCTTTGTTATACTACAACAATTCTTAATAGTGAATAGAGCTTTAATTTTAAAGACCCCTTTGGAAATGTAGCCCTTAGCTAAGTTTTATTAACTTCTTTCTCTGTGTCTGTATCTACAGGCATTAAGAGGTGTATGTTCACAGAAATGACTATGGTGTCCAATTTAGTCATCAGAAGTAATTCCTTCCACTGAGTATTTAGGGAGTCAGGATCTGGCAGCCCAGGGGAGTGGGTGGACTGAATCATTTCTTTCTCTCCTGAATTTGGATGGCACAGCAGTTGCAGTGACTAAATTAGACTCCTGAAGTGGATGATCATAACAAAGGCCTGGTGACCACATGCATTCAGACCAGACACTGTTCAGTTTTTCAAAAACACCCATATACCAGTTAGGTCCTTTATTTTTTCCTGCCTTCTCTCGCTCCACCAATAATGCGCTAACTGTTACTGGAATTTTCTGGTATTGTTCAGCCTACCTCTTCCAAAACCCCTCCTGCTCTTCACATATAACCTGTCTGCTCCACATACTGGATTCAGAGGCAAGCAGTGATCTGGGAGAGTGAGGACTTAGGGGCAGTGTCCATGTTGCTGGTGGCATTGCTGCCTTCATGCACCATGAAGTATGCAATAGTTCAGGCTTTGACCTATTTTTAATAATATGCAAAGGAAGCTCTGCTTTCCCTCTTGACTCCTTCATAGTCTCCTCTCTTTTCCTCCTCCTTTCCACACATTTCAAAAGGGGCTCTTTACCCTTCTTCCTTCCTGCCTGCCTTCTCCCTCCACAAGCCCTGCTGTAACCTCCACATGTGGCTGGTGCTTTACCCAACCATGCTCTGCCTAGTTCACAGCAGGAGCTGGTGTACCTGTGTCCCTGTCTTTTTGGAGCACTGCTATTGCATGCTTCACGTGAGCATAGCTTCAAGGGACTTGGGCAGTTTGGTGGGGCATGTAGCACTGCAGGACTTATCCCTATGCTGTAATCCATAGCTTGTCCTTCACCCAGGCAAACTCGCTTCACCTTCTGTGCCCCTGCTCCCGTGTGCTCGTCTTCACCTGGCCCAGAAATGGCACACTTTGGTTAGCCCTGGCTAGAGCTTGTGCTGGAGTGGAGGCAACAGGGAAAATTGAAACCTTCAAGTCCAGTTGCAACTGATGCCATCACTGGTGATTTCCCAAGTGGTGAGAGATTGTTTGATTGCATTTGTACACAGGGAATTTGCTGCTATTGTCTTCAGGCTTTGAAAGACAGAAATGCTTGCCTGTACAGATGAAATAGGCTTTGGGGTAGGCTGACCATGCTGTTTGCTTTCAGGTGGGAAACCTCGGACTGCTTTTCATGCTCCTCTTTTTCATCTACGCTGCTCTAGGAGTGGAGCTCTTTGGAAAACTCGGTAAGTCTCAAGCAGATCATGCTCCAGTGTGAGCTACAGACCTGCTGGCAAGCTGAAGTTTCTCAAAATCGGTACTCATTCAATAAAGAGACTAAATTATGTGGTGGCCCTTATTCTCCCTTATGCGTAATTGATCTAGGAGGAATTTCCCTCTAAATTGTTACTGTGCTAACAGCCTAACAAAATAAAAGCAGTGTCTGGTTTCTCTTTAATTCTTAAACTTTTGCTTTTACTGCCTACCTTGATATTGCCTTCAAGATTACAGGAAAACCTCAGGGAAGGCTTATTTACATCTCTTGCCATGGAATATTGATCAAGAAGAAGGGCAGCACAACACATTGAGAGGATCCCCCTCAGCAATTGAGTTACACTGCCTGATATCCTGGGGTTGGGCCATCAGGGATTTTTCTGTATTGGTGGGCAACAGACAACTGTTGGGCAGGATGCTGAGGCCATTACCTGAGGTTTCCAGGCTGTGAGAAGCCTGAAGTCGCTTTCCCCAGTTCCTGCTGTTGATCTCAGGGCCCGCAGTATGTCCTCCGCTGATAGCTGCGATCCCCTTCCTTTCAGTATGCAATGATGAGAACCCCTGCGAGGGCATGAGCCGCCACGCCACCTTTGAGAACTTTGGGATGGCCTTCCTCACGCTCTTTCAGGTGTCCACAGGAGACAACTGGAATGGGATCATGAAGGTAACTGGGACTCAGGGGTGTGGATGTCCTTACTGTGGGAAAGGAGAAGTTGTGATATGTGCTCTGTTTAGCAGTGCTTGGGCTAGAAAAGGGAAGGAGCACAGGAGCTGAGTTGCTAGATAAGGTCCCTGCTTGGGCCAGAATCTCCCTCCCCACCATGGTAACTCAGACCTTGGGCCCCTCTACAGACATCTGTCTGAGAAAAGTGCGAATTGTCCTTGGGAGGAAGAAGACAGCTGTCCAGGCTAAGAGGGAATATCCACTGTCATAAGGCCTGTTATCAAAGCTGAATGTAGGTGTATTGGACGTGGCACCCATCTGAAGACCTACAAGGGCAATCAAAAATAAATAGTTCCTCCTTCAAAGGACGAGGAGAGAGGAAAGTTCTTTGAGCACATATGGTGCTTTTGAATCTGGATGAGAGAAGGCAGTATGAGACTGCTCCATTTTGTTCTTGCTCACATGTGTGCGGCTACAGTGGCAGCAACGTGTCATGATCTGGAAGTAATTTGATCGGTATATCTTTGGACATATTTGTTCTGAAACAGAAAGCACACGGTCAGATAGTGTCCTTGATTCTTTGAGGACCTCGTGATCCCAGAGGGTGTGGGGTGATAGAAATGTTCTTTGCATTGTCATCAGTGTTTTTTGATGGAAAGAGCAGCCGAGCTTGTATTCTTACTTTAGTCTTTCCTTCCTTCCATCACTCCCTCTCAATCCCAACTTCCCCTCAAGGATACCTTGCGTGACTGCAGCCACGATGACCGGAGCTGCCTCAGCAACCTGCAGTTCATCTCCCCACTGTACTTTGTCAGCTTTGTGCTCACAGCCCAATTTGTCCTCATCAATGTGGTGGTAGCTGTGCTCATGAAACACCTTGACGACAGCAACAAGGAGGCCCAGGAGGATGCAGAGATGGATGCGGAGATTGAGCTGGAAATTGCACATGGGCTGTGCTCCCGCAAGTCAGGCTCCCCAAGTTTAGGACAGGGAAAAGGAGCAGGAACAGGAGGAGGCAGTGGAAGAACAGATCCTGAAGGACGTCTGTGCATGAGATGTTACTCTCCAGCACAGGTGAGTACACCTTTGAACTTACTAACCAGACTGCAGCAAGTAGCTGGGGGAAGAAGCTGGGCAGCCTAGATGACAGACGGCTTAGCTGTAGCAGATAGACTCTTCTACCTCAGGGTGAGAGGTTTGCTTTCTGTGGTAGACTTTTGAATTGGTAGCATTGTTTGAGGACAAGGCTGTGACAGCAGTGGGTCTTGTTCATTGTCATCATGGTGCAGGAACTTGAGGGCCAGTAGAGGAGGGATGGAGCAGATCTGCTAAATGTGTGCTAGGAGCAAATTTGAGAGTGGAGCTCAGGAGAACAGTGCAGGGGAAATGGCAGATCAAGAGTGAGGCACTCCAGCAGAGCTGGAAGGGAGGTGTGAGCAGTGCCATGGTGTACTGACAGTGAGTGAAGACAGTCCCTCCTCTTTTTTTTTTTTTTTTTTTTTGTATTGAACTCTGGCAACTTTACACAACTTAAGGAGCAAATGCTCCCCCAGTGACCTTGTGCAGGTACCTGCAGAACAAGGTGCTGCCCCAGAGGAGTCAGGGTGGAGAACCCAGCCCCAAATTCACCTGAAACTTTGAAGCAAAAGACTCAGCATTGTTAAAATGATCTCTCCCATCCTCCCCCCTTTCTTGTCCCCTAGGAGAACTTATGGCTGGACAGTGTCTCTTTAATTATTAAGGACTCCTTCGACGGGGAGTTAATGATCATCGATAACCTATCGGGCTCCGTCTTCCATCATTACTCCTCGCCGGCCATGTGCGAGAAGTGTAACCATGACAAGCAAGAGGTAACCTGCGTACGAGGATGCGTGAGGGGATTGTCCCCCCAAGACCTGCACACCACCAACCACATGCCTGCAGGTCGTCCGATGTGTGCTCCTGGCTGTAGATTGTGTAGACAGAGAGCTTGTTGACCTGTGTTCATCATCTGTCATGAACTGCTGATACTACCTTTAGTACAGGCCTGCCCTCCTTAGCCATGGGGTAGTCTGAGGTGGTGGAAAGGTGAGATGTGCCAGGACACAGGTCAGGAGGGACTGAATGAGCTGTAGAGACATTACTATGAAGGCATCCTGGCAGCTCTTGTTGTGTTCAGTTCTGCAAGAAAAGCAGAGGTTCAAGCTCATGTTGTACGGAGGACTCAAAGGATCTCACCCCAGAGACAGCACTCAGGGGCAATTCAGTGGGAGATTTAAGCATGTGTTTTGTCTTGATTTTAAGGATGTGCTTGCTTATTCTCTGTTGAGTTCGATAAATTAAGCACATGCTTAAATGCCTTGTTGAAGAGAGTCACCATCTGTGAGCAAGGATTGGTTTGTGGTGAAAACTGGTTAATTAGTTTGAGCAAAAACTAAATAAAAATGGGCCCACTGAGAAAGTTTGAGAGTCTCTTTTCTGATGTAGAACCTGTTAGCTGACAAATGGGCTGTTGCTAAGAGCAGGATACCAAGTGGCTTAGACTTGTGCCTCTAAAGTTAGTGCAGATGCTTTGGAAAACTATTTCCTAAGCCATTAGTCTTTTCAGGCTATGAAACTTCAGGAGAAAAGTAGTCTGGGAGAAGTTAGGTGAGTAGCAGAATTAATTTTTTTTCTGAAAAAAATGTATTTAATGGCTATGATCATGGTCAGGCTTATAACAGTTGCGTGGCTCATCTGTCAGTGCATCAGTGGCAATCTTCACTATCTCCTTCCCCATAACTAACCTGATATGTTGCTATTGCTTATAAAGAAATTAGGAACTTGGGAAGAGAGTTCTCACTGGCATGCTACTCTACCCATGTTTGAAGAAAACAATGTTTTGTTTGGCTTCAGATGCCTAGTTCTGATGCTCTAATTTTTTTTCAGCCTTTCATCTCTCTGCTTTGTCTTCATGCTTCCCTTTGAAAGTATCAAAAGGCAAACATTACTGTAGTTTATTGGTATTGCAACACTTCACAAATGGATGCTGCACTAATGCAGCCAAATAACTAGTTCTCAATTAACTGTATTTTCCACTGCTTTACATAAGTCCTTATATTCAGCAGTTGGTGTTCAGCCTTCTCAGAAAATCAGGTCTGCTAAGGCATTCCAGAATGATTACCCCAAAATTAAGTCATTTGCAGCTAGTTTGCTGCATTTGAAAACCTTCCAGATCATCCTCAGTGTCCTGCCTAGGAATGAAGACAACAACAGATTTTCTTACCTTCCCAGCAAGGAAACTGGACAGCAAAATCTTCAAATGCAACCCACAGCCAAAGCAAAGAGTTTAACAGAATAATCACAACCAAGGTGTGATTCTTAGGTCATATTTTCTAGTGTTTGTTGTAGAGCCATAAATTATTTTTTAAAATTGATATTTCAATACATCTGAAAGGTGGAATTGAAAATAAATTATCTGTATCTGCAGGAATAACTTTATTGGTAAAATGTAGATACTTTATTTCTGATCATATGAATCAAAAGTACAGCTCAGGATTTTAAGTCACAATTGATCATGACCTTCTCTTCATATTTCATAGTATAAAAAACATCGAGGAAATTCCAGCAGAAAATCACTACATGGAGTCAGAGTTAGGCTTGTCCTAGCACTAACACCAGCAATGCACATAGTTATTAAATTAGAGTGTCCTCTGGTATTTCAACATATCCAGATGTTCATTGTACACACTGACAGAATCATACTGTCTCAGAAGTCATCAACAGCAAGTTATATAGGCAAAAAAGGTTTTTATCTAGTCCTGTTCAATACATATGTGTTTGAACAAAATAGTATGCTTGCTGCCTACTGAATCACCCTTAACTCTCTGCCCTTGTGACAGAAATCACATATTAGCCAAAAAAATTCACTCCCATTTCATTTGTAGTTTAATCCATCAAGATGCTGAACACAGTGGATGGACACAATGCTTAAACATATGTTCAAAGTTATTAATATATGCTAAGATTTTTGCTGCATTGAGAAGTGCTCAGCATCTGTCCCAGTTACACTACTGGCTTCTTATTTTCAAGCCAATTTGTACAATTAAGAAATTTTGTAATCATGGCTCTGTTTTTAAAGATATGTTATATTTGAAACTAGTTATTTTCTAAGGGATACGTGTGCATGTTTCAGCATCTCAGGTTGATGTCCGTGGCAGTTTTCATGGATTGTGCTCCAAGTGAACAGCCCCTTCTCCCCCACTGCAATTTTTAAAAATTTTGTTCCTCATCTTTAGTCAAATGATTTTTAAATATTCTGCAGTAAAGCAATCTATAAGAACAAAGTGTCCTTTTTTCATACCACTAACCTCTTTTCTTGTCATTGCTATCCTTTCACTCTGGGGCTGGTTGACAGTTAGACATTTGTGGATTGATGGCTGATAGTGTGTTTAGCGAGTGGCAGGAGTTTGCCAGTGAGCAGCAGTGAACCGTGTTTCTATACATGCAGTTTACCTATTCATGACTTTGTTGATTATGTTTTTGTGTAGATCCCAGGGTGGCCAGAATTTGTGAGCAAGCAGTTCAGTGAAGAACAGACTATTCTGGCTTTTGTTGTAACCCTTTTTTATGGATGGAGAAGGTAGTTGCAGTTGTTATTACATTTCACGCTCATGTCTCTACAAGCACAGCTGTAAGGTGTAACAATCACTTAGGCGAGTAATGGATGAGTACACACATTGAGTGGGATTGAACGAAGACTGTGTTTCTCTACACAAGGAGTTGCTGACTGGTAGCTGTGTAGTGTGCTTGACATAACTTTGGGTTCTCCAGTGCATCCATGTTCTGAGCAGCAGTTGTTGGTTTTGGGCTCTCTTCGTGGTTGAACGGTACCATGTTCCTGTGTCAGAATAATATCCCAAATAAGGATGTCATTTCTGCCCTTTGTTTAAATCCAGTTCTGGTTTTCCATCCTGTTTATTCAAAGTTCATAATCCTTTGGATGGAGACCTCTTCCAGTCTGTGGCATTGGCACGAGCCACTAAACTCCCAGATCGAAGGAGTCATCTCTCCAAATGTTCCACCTGCTCTTGTAGCATAAAAGCTGTACCTGCCTTTTGCAAACACAAACTCAGGGGAGGACAAGATAAATGGCCAGGAAGCAAACTGTCCTGACTGAGACAACCCAGAATACAGCTGTCAAGATTCAGGTGCTGGTGGTGGGAACTGGTGGGACTCTAGAGACCAGTGACAGAAAGCCAAGCACAGGAAGGACAGAGCAGCTGCTTAGGCTACCAGAAACAGGAGATGCTTTTCAGGCACTGTGGGAAAGAGATGTCAGGCAGAGGAGAACTGAAAGGTTTCAGGAAAGAGGATGGGAGAGGGGCACATGTGGTGTATGAAACAGGCCACAAGATGAAGCAAGGGACAAGAGCAGAGCTGAGGCTTAAGGATGAGAAAAATTCAATGGTCAGACTTGGTTTCAGAAAGCAAGAGAGCACAAGTATGGGTGGGCAGGAGGGGTGAGTTTAGGGATGGAGAGCAGGATGGGAGATGGTGTTAGCTGAGGTCTTGGGTAGGTTAGAGGTGAAGGGAGAGGGAGGACACAGGGAAGCTACAGGGAAACAGGGTTTCAGTGATGAAGGTAAGAAAATATGAAAAGCATGATACTGGCATGGATTGCAAGAGGCATGACTGTCCCTGGAATGAAAGCACCTTCATGTTTAAGCAGGGCTGTCTGTGACACCTTCAGAAAGAGGGGCCCACTCATCATCCCTCACCAAAGGAGACTGCCTTGTCACCCTGGGGGAGCCCTCTCCCTGCCTGGCTTGACTTGCAGGGCCTTGTGCCAGCCATGTCACTGGGACAGATTCTGGACTCCTTCCAATTCTGGCACTAGAGGAACCTGGACTGGTCATGGGCTGCTTGTAGATCATATGTTCAACTTTCCTTAAGAAGTGGATTCTCTTGCCCAGTCCAGGTCTAGGTAAGGCAGATGTATCCAAGGAATATGACCTAAAATTGATCTCAGGTCTACAGGCTCCCACTCATCCGCCATAGTGTGCTTGAAATATGGATGCCAGGCATGACCTGTGACAGCTCCTTTCCCTTCCTGCAGGTCCAGCTGGCTGAAATGGAAGCATTATCCCTCAACTCAGACAAGTCCTCTTCCATCCTTCTAGGAGATGAATCAGACAATCGCAGCACTTCTCAGCTGAGTCCTAAGGAGATGAAGGTGAGCCCCAGATGGTCATGGGCATGTTGCACCATGCGCTTTATTTCTGCCCCCATTCATTTGAAGTGCTCTGTGTTCATCCAAGTGTCCCTGCTGAGGAATATAAATTCTGGTCACTTTTCAAGAGCTTCTCCATAGAGACATATCGTGGAGAAGGATTTGAGAAAAAAAAGGGATCTATGTTTTTGAAAGTTCTCTTCACTACTGTCAGTAAATTCCTCTGAATGAGATTAAATTTAGGGAATTTGTGATGGAAACGTGAGCATCTCTTAGCTAGCTTGAAGGTATCTTCAGAATCACCCCTTCTTGAAGCTTTGACAAGTCTGCTCTGTCATCTGCCATTAAATTTCACAAGGCTTTGTCCTCACTTATTTTTTCCAGCACGATGGCCAGATCAGCCCTGACTCCAATGGGGTAGGCGATCTGGGGGAATGCTTGCTCCCAATATCCAGTGCAGATGGCTCTACAAACCCAGACAGTTACTTGTGTGAAATGGGGAAAACTCCTTTCAACTCAGTCCAGTCTTGGCTAAAGCATGAAAGTACCAAAGGTGAGTACAGCTCTCATCATTCTCCACTTCTACTGGAAGTGTGGGTTGGTTCAGCTCCTCTGCCTTTTTCCTGCCTCCCTGCTGCCAGGAATGGAGTGAGGTTACACTAACCAAGAATTAGCTTTTGGTTTGCTAGTCCTCAAGAATGGGATAAGAAGCAGTTCCTTCTTTTGCTGCTAGATCTTATATCCTCCTTCAGACCTGCTTATGTGAAGTATCATGAAAGACCTGATTCCTGTTCACAGTAGCATACCCATGCACGATCTGGTACAGGTTTTGGTCCTGGTGCAGAAAGTGGGACCCATGGTGTGAATGCTAGACAGTCTTCTTGGCAAGGAGTGTGTGTTACTACACTGGACTTGCAGGACCTTCAGTGTAGCAAAAGCAAAGGCACCAAATCAAATTGGAGGACTCTTCAGCTTTATTTCTTTTTTTCTCTCTGTTTTTCTCCTCATTTCTTTTGGTGTTTTGTCAGTCCCTCCCAGCCCCTTCTCTCCAGGTGCATCTTGCCCTCTGTTGCCTGTACCAGCAGAATTTTTCCACCCAGCCATCCCTGCCAGCCAGACAGGGCCTGAGAAAGTCTCGTGTCCACGCAACCTTCCTAAGATCTCTCTGCAAGGCTCATGGGCATCACTGAGATCTCCAAGTGTGAACTGTTCACTTCTTCATCAGGTGAGAACCTCCACTTCCCTCTGCTAGGAAAGCCTGATCTTCACATCAAATGCAAGCAGAGGGGGCTGAACAGAGAAGATGGCAGAGGAAGGAGAGAGGCAGCTGTGGTCATGGACTGGTTGACCTGGATCTAACCTGTTGGAGGAGCACAGTGGACTGCAGAATGCAGGAGGGTTGGGGAGGAGAGAGGGTTGTGTAGCAAAGGGAAGTTGTATAGCTCTCACCCCCTGAAATCATATATTCTTCTGCTTTGGATCAAAAAATAGTCTGACAGCTGCAGCTAACCCCCCATGAAGATGAAATCACATCACCTTTTAGCTCACCCCTGAGTCCCCTGTGCTGAGTGTGCTGCAGACACCTGCATGCATAGCAGCCGCAGTGTGAGCCAGGGAAATGGCAGCCGCACAGCCACCTCGGCCCTTCTTGGCACCGTGACTCTGGATCATGCACCTGCTTTGTTGGAACAGGCTTCTCCCCACCTACCTCCTTCGTGCTGCATCCACACACCACGTCCCTGAGCTCGCTGTTTTCCCCTACCCACTTAGCTCTTACATCCCAGAAAGGTGCTGTTTCTGAAAAGGCAGCTATTTCTCACTAATGAAAGAGAAGAACAAAAGCATTGAGGGAATATTAAGTGTCTCTAAAGAGAAGAGGAGACAGAGATTAAAGTCCAGTAGAGATCCCTGTTATTGTTCTTGGAAGATACTCGATGAACAATTCCTGTTTGAGGACTACAGGGATGCTCTATTCCAGACAAACTGAAAAATAAAAATGAAATCTCATGTTATCCAGTTCTATGTGACAGATACTGTTGGCAAAATACAAATGTGTATAAATTCACCAGGGATAAATTTAGCCTTGAGCTGAGGCCACTGAGTTGTTGCAGTGTTGAAACTTCTGATATAAGTTTAGACATGAAGAGAAAGAGCTCTGGAGTTGGCATATGACTGGGGCAAAAGTACGGAACTGTTGCAAAGGAGAAATTGGTAAGCTTCTGGTTATGTGATGCAGACTGGATTGAATAGCTATGGTTCCAGTCCTACATGCATCATTCCCAGTGTTATGTCCCCATGATGATCTCACAGTGCAGACCAATTTCCTAGCAACAACTGAAATGCAGCTTAACTAACTGAGCCCTGATACAAGGAAAATAAAGCCGTTTCCCCTTCTATCATTGCCACTTATGGTCAGAAGAAGCGTGAGGCTTCTTTTCTCTCCCCAAATATTGCTGATTTTTTTAATGAAAGGAGGTCTGTGTACAGAGCCTCAGGTCTATGTACTGGAGTCCCCTGATTTCTGGCCAGCTGATGGTTTTTATGTGTCCACAGCCTGTGTGGCAGGTTCTCAGGAAACCTTGTCTCTTCTGCCTCCTGGACCACTAGTGGGCAGGGACAGCCCAGCAGTGGGGGCTGCAGAGTTCACAGACCCAGCACCCTTCCCTTTGGTAGAGTATTTTACATGGGAGGGGGAGATTCATCGTGGAGCAGAATGAAATCAGAGGTCAAAATATTGAAGCCTTTACTCCTACTGCAAAAGGGAATCCCTTGGGCAAGCTGCATGGCTGGTGCTATGTAGCACTGCTCAGGTGGCTTACCGCTGCCCTCCCCAACAAAGAAGAGTGAGAGAGAAGCTGGAGTTTTCCCCCTTTTTCTGTAGTTGTGGTTTATTTTCACACCCCAAAGTACTCAAGGAAAAAAAAAAAAAAGCCAAAGTCTCTTGCTCCCTGCCCAACTCTTTCCTGAGAACTCTTTTTTGACACTCTTGCTTCCCAGGCTCCCGAGAGTGATACCTCGCTGGACAGCCGGAGAAGCAGCGGCAGCCTGCAGACCACACTGGAGGACAGCCTCAACCTCAGCGACTCTCCCCAGTGCACCCTGGACCTCCCAGTGGCTCTGTGCCCCATGCCAGTTGCCAGCAACCAAAGGCCCCTGGCAGCCCCCCTCTCCCCCACCTCCCGCCG